AGCCAGTCAGGCAGATTGAGCCCCTGCAGTGTGTAGTTGAGCAGGTACATGTAGGTGGGCACGCTATTATTCAGCATCAACTTCACCATCTTGTCATTGCCCGCGGTGTACCACGAATCGGTGATCAGCTGCATAAGGGATAAAGTAAAAGCTTTGAGTAAAACTAAAATCAGCTTAATCGTCCCCCTTACGTCAATGATGCCCTGTCGGACCAGGGTCAGATTGTTTGGATCACTCCACGGCGAGTACATGAAGGAGATGGCGTTGAGAAGAGCGGGCTGGTCAAAGGTGTAGTTGTAGATCTTCACGTAGTCTTTGACGCGACGCTCAAAGTCGGCGTGGGTGACCACGTAGTCGCGCTTTGCCAGCTCGGGGTCGGCGACTGCAAAACACAAAGGGGATAGTGATTTTTGGACAAACTAAAAACTGTCCATCACTTACAGAGCACCTGCGAGCCCTCGTCCTTCGTCACGCCGGACATGTAGGCAAAGTCCTCGCTGAAACGGACCGCTCGCCGGCTGAGCAGGTCCTCAGGCAGGTCCGTCATGAACTGGTAGTCCTTGCTACGTGTCCACCGGTCCACCACCGGGCCCCAGGTCAGCCAGCCGACGTCAGGGCGGACTTCGGTGGCGGTAAAGTCCGTAGCGGAGCGACTCTTTAGACACTTCACCAGCGTCCAACTGTCACGGGTGCTGCAACCAAAGGCCCGGCCCGCAAGGACCGAATTGTTGCGCATATACAGCGGCTCGCGAATGAAGGCCCAGTCGGCGACGGCCGCCCCTGATTGGGCGATCACCCGTTTTACGTAGTCTGTGAAGGGGAGAAAAACGGTGTAAACAAAGAAATCGAAATCAGAAAAAACAAACTTACTTCTCGTCAGCGGTGAAATGGCGAGCAATCCGGCGCTGGCCGCCCCTGCATCCGGCCCAAAAAGTGTGATTTTATTGGGATCGCCGTTGAACTGGCGAATATTCTCTATCACAAAGTTGATCGCTTGCACCTGGTCGAAGAGGCCATAGTTGCCCGCCGAAGAGTTGTCGGAAGTGGCGAGGAAACCGAGCAGGCCGAGGCGGTAGTTGAAGGTGACCACGATAACCTCCTGCGTGGCGGCCATCATGTGTCCGGGGAAGATGCTGCCTGAGCCGTGGTCAAAGTGGCCTCCATGGATGTAGATCATCACAGCGTAAAGGGTCCTCGTTGGGGTGGCCGCCCATGGCGTGTAGATGTTCATGTAGAGGCAGTCCTCGTCGGTGGCGGGGATGCCCAGGTCGGCGTGCACGTACCGACGGTACTGCGGACAGGCGGGTCGGTAGCGGTCCGCCCGCATCGTTCCCCACTGATTGGGCACCGTCGTACGCTAGTGGCAATAAAGAAAGGGTAAGTCAGACAAGAAGAGAATTTAGAAATGGTGTTACAACGCAAAGCTCACCTTAAATCGGAGGTTATTCTCCCGTGTGGGCGGCTTTGCATAGGGCACGCCCAGAAATGTGGTGACATTGCGTCTGAAGGAGGTGATCGGCCGGTACTTGTTGGGATTGCCCACCGGCGTGTACTGCGCCGGCTTGGGTCGGTCGTGCTCTGGGACGCCGGGCTCATCACAGAGGTAGACCACTCTGCCCTCCACTGTACCGTAGGCGGTGTTGACGGTGGCAAACTCGAGGAGGCCCTCGCGGACGGCCTCCGGACAGCGCAGGTCGCCCGGGTCGGCGATCTTGTAGCGGTTGTAGGTGTCCGGCGTGACCGGCGCCGAGTAGCGAGGGTCGTACTTGTTGATGGTCTCCAGCGGCCGGTTCGGGTCTTGGTAGAGGATGGGGTAGTGGCCCCATTGACCGTAGTTCTGCACTGGGTCAGGGCGGCGGGTGAAGTACGGGTCGAGGCGGTCGCCGGCGTAGACATCTGCAAGTGCTGATGGAAATAGGGATGATGTTTGACTGAAAATGATGACTGTTGTAATGAGGAGGAGGAGGTTAACGGGAGGTCTACCGCCTCTGAAGACGGATCGGTGGTGGTGATGAAGAGGAGGTGACGTATCATGAGGAAAATGTGAATCGTCTTTGAAGGAAGACATTTTGGTGGTGGTTGTTGTGGTGGTCGTGCTTTGTTCTGTGCAGACTCAATTTGCTAATGAAGACAATTATGTGTGCGGCAATTGAGGATTGAGGTGATTGTAATTCAAAATGTAAAACAGGTCAAAGGAGCTGCTAATTAAGTTGATGTTGATGATGATGGTGATATTCAGTGGCTAATGAAGGAGGAAACAGTTCACCCACTTCAACCACCACCACCTGAGGCAGCGACTGACGAGTGAGACGTATTGCGGTTGGAAACAGTGGCAGCAGCAGCAGTACAGACGACAGTGATCAACGACGACTCTTCAACGGCGACCAGCATCGTTGAAGCAGCAGAAGCTGAAAATGAACACCAAACTGTCTGTCTGTACAGCTGTACAGTTCGATCGGCTAAACAGCCTTCTCTTTTTCTTTCTTCTTGGTGAACAATACTGAGCACTATTTTTGAAAGTGGAAGGTACTTTTTTCAATTCTAATGTCTACCTTCTCTTCATTCTTGTTTAGGTAGCAAAAATAGAGCTGAAGGACAGCAACACAAGAGAGCCAACAAAACAATCAGTATCCGTTAATCAGAGGCGAAAGCTCTTCTTGAGTGCTGCTGATGGTGGTGGTGCAATCGCAGTAGACCATGCCACCATCAGATCATCTCTTCTCATTGATGCAAACACAAAATTGGTGAGAAGAAGGTAATAGAGAAAGAGGGAGAATGAGAAAGAGAGAGTCCACGCCTAGAATGGTGTCGGTGATATACCGCTGCAAACAGAAAACGAGAAAAAGAAAGAAAAGAGAACAGTTGTTAGATTAGTGCGTTCAGAGCATCAACGAGCTGCGCAACTCTGTCGCCTCGGGTCTATTGACATAACTGACTGCCGCCATAGTGACAGCTGATTGCGGCGGAGATGCAGTGGAAGATTCACCTGGCAATGCACACACACACACACACACCAAATCGAAGATAGAGTTTGCAGGCACAGCAACCAATAACGGTGACTAACGGAGGAGAGGCGACAATGGCCGAATTGGCTGCAGCAGCAGCCGAGCTACCACTCATTAGCCGTAGCAGTTTATCAGTCGAGCAATCGAGAGTGTTGCAACATGTGCACAGTGTTCATCTGTGCAACCACACTGACAAGTGAAGGTAAGCAGGTGAAAAGTGGTGGCCAATTGAAATGATGATGATTGAAAAAGGAAAACAAAAAACAGAAGCTCGCTGCGTGCGTGTTGTGTTTGTGTGTGTGTGCACTCTTGTGCACGTTGTCGATTCCATGGCAATGGAGTCAGGTTGGGCGGCAGGTTGGCAGAAGGTAAGCAGTAGAGAAGGAGGGCTCATTAGAGAGAAACACAAAATCGGCAAATCGATCGATTAGTGAATTTTAGAAAGAAGAACAAAGATGGGTGCCCAAGTGGAACGGAATATTGCATCCAGTAGGGGACATTCCCCAGAAACATGAGTCAGACTTGGCAATCAACCAGATACTCCCAACAAAACTTTGCTGTTAAATCGAACTTAAAAAGGTGCATTACCTGCAGCAGAAGATAGCCGGCAAAATGGGCGTAGATGTGTTGACGGAAGTTTTGGCAGCAGTAGAGTGGCCGCAGTAGCTGCGGCAGGTGAGCCGCGGCCAAATAGAAAAAAACTGACTTGACAGCGAGATGTGCTGGTGTAATTTCAGCAGCAGCGTCTTCTCTCAATTTGATTCAAAAGCGGACGAATCGCTTCACCGAACACGATGACAGATG